CCTGCAGCCCGCACCGGTCGTACCGGACGAAAGCTCCCACTTCTTCTTTGAGGGCGTGAAGCGCATGACCAGCAAGACGCTCTTTTTCTCCTTGGTGATTCCCTGCATGGGGAACACAAGCGTGCCATCGCCCAGCACAAGGCCCGAGCCTCCGCCGCCAGCCAACTGAGTCAGGGAGTTGAGTCTTGCTGCGGATTCGGGCTGCACCGCACGGGTCTCACTCCATTGTGATTTTCTTATCGTCGCCGCTTCCACTGACACTTCCCTTCACCAGCACAAGATTCCAGCCAGTTTTGCCGGCAACCTGCTCCTCAGGCTCTGTACGAGTACGTCTGCCCAGCAGCATGTAGACATCGGCGCCCCGCACAAGTGTTGTTGGCCGCATGATCTCCGTTGCCTTCTTCTCGGCCGCGTCACTTCCCTCCACAAGTTGCGTGTAAACGAGACTTGTGTCCGCCGCCGAGATGTCCATTGCGCCCTCCGTGATTTTCTTGAGGTGCTTCGACGCAATCCCAGTTACGCAGCCGGCCCCCTCGTCCTGCTTCCTGCAGTGAGCCTCGGCAACGGCAAAAACATCCTCCCCCACCGCAACAAGGCTGGGGACGCGGAGGGAAGTGACCGATTGAGCAGCGACCCCAACGCCTTCCCATGCAGCACCAGAAATATCCGTCGTCCCTGCAAACGGATCCATGACGTCCTCCTGATTAGCGGCTGCAGCGCCACTGTTGCCGCAGCATATCAACAGCATGCAAAGAGAGAGCAGCAGCACCGCGGCAGAATACAACTGCCAGGGCATGTTGCGCCGTTGCTGCTCACTCTCTCCCCCTCTCTTCTTGCGGTGGACCCGCTCAGGCCGCAACAGTTGTGTGTGTGTGTTGCTGTTGCTCTTTTTAGCTGCAAAGCCTTCGAAGCACGCACAGAGGCAAGAGGGGTTCGACGGGCAGGCTGCCGAGAGACGGTGAGCACGGCACAGGCGCCCAGCCAGCAGGAAGGCGCGAGCAGCGCAGCAAAGTAAAAAAACAAAAACAAGCAAGTAGAAACCCAAAACGCAAGACAAGACAAGAAAAGATACTTCAGCAGGTTATTTATTCATCGGCTGCGTGGATA